CCCCAAAACCCCAAAACCCCAAAACCCCAAAACCCCATATTTTCTATTTATATTGAAATTTAATTACTATCCTATTTCTTCCTCTTGCCTATCCCTACACCTGAGAGTGGGAGCAACCTCTTCTTCGATCTTGATCCGATAGGATCATTCATAACTATAGATTTAGAACTAGGATTACTGCTAAGTTTAGTTATTTTGATTTGTAATCCTTTCTGTTCCCTACTTTTTATCTTCCTTCTCTTTGCACTGCGTTGGTTGTTAAGATAAGTAGAATAGGAGTGGTTAGACTCCTTCCTGCCCATCATCTCTCTTCTATGGTTCTGGCTCGACTGATAGAAAGAATTCTTGTAAATCATACTCGTTGAAGTTGACAACGAGTTCTTCCCTTCACTAGAAGTACGGTGGAGGGAGTCATTATGCCTAGGAATCCGGCTAATCCTGATTCCAAATCCTTTTGTGTTGTTCTTAATGTTCCTCTTTAGTTCCTTAGTTGATGTAGCTTGAAAGCCATTCCCTGCAGTCTGGTAGTATGCTGAAGGGTTGTTAGTTACCTTTATCTTCTTCATCTTATCACTAAAGCTGATCTTTCGCAGAGGCTTCTCTCGTTTGGCATTTGAAAACTTAAATGCTTTATCGTTTACCGGTTTGGTGTGTGAAACACCAAAATGAGAGTTAGTAAAGAGAATTATGTCGCTCTGTTTGCATCTTGAATCATCACTGGACTTCTAAACATATGAGCTTCCCCCTTGATAAATCTCTTTTTTGGCTTAGTTACAGATCTAACCTTACTAGTCTTGGCTGGCTTAATCACCTTCTTCTCTCTAGTGATAGGTGGATCTACTTTATTTTGGTGTATCAATTATTTTCGGCTTTACAGATTTCTTCTTGGAAGAAGCTTTTTTCTTAGCTCGTTTTTCTTCCTCAATCTTGAGCTTTTTCTCAGGACTTCAGAATGCCTCATGGTGGTTCTTGATATAATCAATGTCGTTCCAGTGGGTGATAAGTTTATAAACTTTATCTTCAAGGATTTGCTTTTGAAAAGTGTCTATCTCATAATCCTCCTCTTGACAGGTAGAGAAGCTTTCTTCGCTAGAATCAAGGTCTTTAACTTCCTCTCTTTTCTTTTTCTTAATCTGCTTTCTCTTGTTCATGTCCTTCTTGATGCCAGTATAGAGTTCTCTGAGGGATCGGATTGGTTTGTCCATGATCTCACTGGAATTAGAATTCTCAAGATCATGTCTTTCCTTGATAGCCGAAAGTCCTCCCACATTTTTATACGTACTAGACTGGTTATCCTCCTTTTCTTTGAGGCTTGATAGGTTCCTTTGAATTGGAGTAAAATTCTTAGAAGATTCATCCTTTTGGGAAAGTCGGTCAAAGTTTGAGAAGAGGCTATCAAGTCTCTTTAGATTTCCTTTATTTCTTTTTGAACATTCTGGTATTTCATATTCCATTATTATTCCATTTGGGAGGGCTAGTAGTCCATATCCTTGAGGCTTGCCTAATATTACTTCTTCAAATGATTCGCTGAAGCTTTCTTCAACTTCGTTTTCTTGAGTTTGATCGTATTTTGGAGAACAGAATTTCGGATCTAAAATATCCTCACTTGCAGTAGGAGTTGAGCTTGAAGATTCTATTTCCAGGTCATCATCGCTACTCGAAAATCATGATTCTGAATCTTTAGATTTACTATAAATTGTATAAGAACTTCTTACTTGTTGCTATTAAAGGATTTATCTTTCCTCTTGTCGAATAGTGAGTTTTTATGTAAACTATTTTCAAGATTAGGGCTAACTCTCTTGATGAGATCGCTTCTTTCTCTTTTAATTGTTTGCTTATCAGATTTCTTGAAGAACTCAGCTTCATTGGGATTCTGTGTCTGCAGTTGTGGATCTGCCTCAGACTCCTCCAGCCCCCTCTCCACTGATGGACTCGATGACTGCACAAACATCTTGCTGATCTCTAAATCTGGCAACTTCTGTGACTTCTCTTCTTGCTTGCCTTGCGACTTGTTGCTTTGACTGTGCGATCTCGATGAATCCAAGTTGTCGTCTCTCTTGCGTGGTGACTTGGTCTTGGTGGTGCGTTTACGTGACTTCAGTGACACTTCTGCATTGGAGTCAGGCTTGTCATCAATGTGATATTCTTCTTCTTGGTCAACGCCGAGTATTTCTCTGACAGTTCTTCTGCGCTGAAACTTTCGCTTCTTCAAAATCTTCTTGGCTAGTGCAAGTTTCTGTTTGCGGTTTTCCTCAATAATGAGTAAGTACTCGAAGAGACTTTGACAGAAAGCTTGACCAAAGTACTGGAGGTTGGCTTCGTTGAGGACTTTGGTGTCTCTATCTTCATCTAAATAGCCATGATAAGAACTCTCTATTGTAAGACTAGTCTGAATTTTGAAGTCTCTCCATAGAGAAAGCCTAGCACAGTTCTCTTTGTATTGCTCAGATCTGAATTTACATGAGTAGAAACGGAACATAGGGGTTCGTTCACTCATTAGTTTGGGAATAACTCGAATTTTCATGTAGTTACTGGAGTGTAAAGGATAGTGAGGTCCGTACATAAAGATTGATTTACGGTTAGCATGTGAGTGGATGTCTATAAATGCTAGTATTTTATTGAACCTTCCAAACTCAATCGCTTCCTTCTGGATCTTCTTGATATGCTTACGCATAGCATATGGCTCAGGCTCCAGCTTCGAGTTCGGGTGTTCAAACCCTCTGTTGATGTCTCTGCCCAAGAGTGATCACCTGTGGTTTCCAAGAACAACTCCATCAGGGTTGATCATTGGAACAATCTGGAAGATGACTCTATCTCTGAGCCCCTTAGCGATTTGGGAGTTACTAAGGAGATAGCCGATAATTCTGTGAGTGATCCAGCTGGCATTGGCTTCACCAGGATGGACTCGACCACAAATGAGCACAATTTTTCTTCTAGCAAGGTCAACTTTTGATCAGTTATAATTAGTAATCTCTATCATTGGAATATTCAGCCCACCTAAACTTTTCCCTAAAGACTTTATTTCTCATATTTTAATTCGTATGTGTTTTCTTTGGTTTAATGTATTCGCCAAAAGCCATTCCTCCAAGTTTTGACTTCTCTTCTATCTCCTTGACTGGGTTAACTATCCTATCTTCAATAGATTTGATATACTTCAAAAGCATTGAATAAGTATAAGGAATAGAGGTAGCAAACCAGACAGTGTCATTATCATATTCGAATTCATACTCGAACTCTAAAGTGTAAAATGGTCTGCCTCTCCTGAGGATGCGCTTGTACTCAACCTCGTTAGACACTCGGTGCCATCTATACTGAGAACGAGAACTTACTTGGTCCGCTTGTGCTTGTATCTCTCCAGAGAAAACACACTAGGTGTCATCCCTTGGTTATACAGGCTAGAATATTTAGTCATGTTCGCAATATTGAGGGTTATCTTCTGGTGCTTATACCTATTAGTCACTGAAAAATAAAACCAATGGGTATTCCCATTGGAATTAGAATCAGGCCTAAGGTATCAATTGAAGTAATTGTTCTTATTATCAACTTTTAGTACCAAATCAAGGTTACCACCTTCGAATTTGGAGTCAAAGCTGAACTGACTGTTGATTAGGATAGGGTTCATTCCGACAAACTCTCTGTCATCCTCTTCACTTCAGAATTTAAGTAGCTTTTCGTATGCTCCTTCATACTTGAAATTACCAATCTTATGATGGTTCGGAAATGAAAATGTGTAGGAGTTACACTTCTTATTCGCATATTCTTCATGCATCTGAAAACTTGTCTGCGGCCGGAACCCGTTGTAATAATATCATCAGGCTGAGAATTCTTCATAAGGATGTTTTAAGAAGTCAAAGTAAAGAGGAACAGGTGGAACTGCAACATCAATATTAGGCTTCCACCCAAATTTCATATCAGGGTTAAGCGAATGCTTTCCTCTGATCAAAGGAAGAGGCTTTGTCCCTGGAAGATTATTATTTAACCTAAAATGAATTCATATAAAACACTTACTTTCCATCTGGGGAAAGCTCACTTCTTTTATCTTGATTGGTCAAATCTCCGTTAGTCTGAGTATCATCATTCTCAAAGAAGCCTTCTAAATCTTTATTCTTGTTCTCAGAGTTTTGTTCGTTCGAAAACTGAAGTTGTCCGGCTTTCATTATCTATGAAAAACTTGAGTGCTTGTTTAACATACATATGAGTAAAACTTCTAGCTTATAGATAATCCTGTAATTTGCTAATGGAAATAACTTAATTCATAAGATTTTAAGATCAAAGTCTCAAGGTTAGGCCTTTAAGTAATGCTTAACGTGCCTAACGTTATTAATACACATCGCTGTAAGATGCTATAAGGTTAAATTTCTCCTATCTATTTCCGAGATAATTCTAAATTCAGAAATTTGGAAGTAAAAAAGTTAGGAAAGAGCTAACCTAGGTTTATCATAAAAACAGAAATATATTCCATTGATTACATTTTAATACTCGAACATCTTAGAAGCATACATGGATTTAAGAAAATATTTTATCAGGTTTGAGATTCCATTGTGAAATTATTTGTTGCAAGCCTTCATTATTTCAGATATTAGTTGAACAGATGCAGGTCCAAATTTTTGAAAGATGTCTAACCAATGTATTAGACAGCCTCATGGCATAGAGACATGAGTATGGGCACTAATAAAGCAATGGTAGGAGATTCAACAACTATTCGAGGGTATGTTTGGTCAATACTTCCCATCCCTAATATTCATTATTCGTAGTGCATATTGCTTAGCAAAACTATTAGCTTAATCACAAGTCTCTTCACGAATTTCAGAGAAGAATTGCATTTAAGAAGCTTTTCTTTGGATTGTATCATACAAAAAGTTTTTGCAGTAAGGAAACCTCGTATGTTACTGGAGAAGTAAATATCGAGGACACCAGCATATCGACTTACATAATTGAAAGTTTTAATGTCTCAATAAAATATTAATTTTAAGGGGTTTTGGGGTTTTGGGGTTTTGGGGTTTTGGGGTTTTGGGG